AGTTCTATTACAATTTTCGTGTAGTTCTGAACGTGTTCTAACGTTTTCTAAAGACTTCTGGCGATAAGCGTTATTTAATCATTTTTTAAATAATTTTTATCGTTTGAGAAAGACGCATTTACGGGTATATGGGTGAGACGCTCGATAAATTCCTGATTTTCGAGCGTTATTAATTTATTTAAAAATTATACAACATTGCCAATGCCCGGAACTCTTTAGAAATTGCTTCAATATACTTAGAACTATACGAAAAATATTTTATATAAGCCAGAACTCCGGCATTTCCTACAGCGTCTCACCCATATACCCGTAAATGCGTCTTATACTCGTTACATTATAATTTTTTTTTTAGTACATTATAATTAATTTTTTTGCTTTTATATGGCAAAACTCTTTATAGAACTGTTATAAAACTAAAAATCTCGCAAAATCTGATGAGATACAGTGGTGGAACTTGTGTAGGACAGAGTGAGACGCTGCGTGAACCTAGCGTCTCAGTTTGTACTGACGTGTTTTTTTGTTTTAATGGCCAGAACTATTTGTTTAAACTATCAGGAACTCTAGAACTATTGAAAAGGAAGTCAGAACTCTCAATAATTTGTGAGTTTCCGCAAAATGAGACGCTAGCTTCACACATACGATGTAGACACTTAGCTTCGGGGTTGCCTGACTGAGCGTTTAAGCAGAAAAACCGGAAATTGTGTAAAATCGACCTCGAATTGTGTAAGATACGACCTCCCGAAAGATATCAGTCGATACGTGAAAAATATATTTCTTGATTAAATTAATAAATTAAAATTTAAGAAATTAATAATAAAATAAAAATTAATTTTATAAACTGAAATTTAAAATATTAGATATTAATTAAAATTTAAAGAAAAATAAAAATTATAATCAATAATTTTATAAACTATAAATTAAAAATATTTTTGTAACATTCTTTGCGGTGTGTGTGGAGATGGGTATAGTATCGGTATTGTTAAATTGATTATCAATTTAATTATGTAATTGTACGTTTCAGTTTCAGACTGCGTTTCAAGATTAAAAGTACGGCGCGTGTAGTTGACGAAGCAAAAGAATATAGTTTTAAAATTCACACGAAAAATTGTTACTATATAGGTGAACAAAATTCAGCCTGACCGTATTTGGCAGTTTAATTTGATGAAAATATTAATTTTATGAAATTACCAGGGGAATTACATAAAAGTTTATTTGAAATTTTAATTGATATACAAACATGAAACTTTCCTACATAGTATAAATAATAAATATAATTAATAGAATAAGTTTATTAAAGAAGCATCGCGAATTAAAATATTTATCCTTTATTTGTTCTTAAAAGAAATTTCTTATGTTATTTATAATTAAAAATATATAATTGATGCATGATTATTAACATCGAGATTAACACAGAATCTATTGCGTCAAAAAGTTGCAACTATATACATATACCATTCAGAATTTATGAATTATTTTTTAATTATGTATTTAAAGTTAAGGGTTTTTTTTTAAATAACCGCAATATTAATCGGATGGCAAAGTTAATTAAAAATAGCGGATATTAAAAATAAAAATGATAGAATTTTTACTTTTGATATCCGGCCGCCGCTATATGGCACCGACATTTTGAATTTATCAACTAAATTTAACATCAGATTAATATTTAGCAACCTGAAAAACTCTTGAGTTTGAGTAACAAGAAAAATTTCATAGTTTCTTAATTATATAATGGTCTATGTAAGTCGCAACTTTGATGCAATAGACTCTATGTTAATCATCAATATCTTTTTAACTACAATTGACATAACAAATTTCTAAGGGCTAAAAGTCCTAACAATTAACATACTTAATTTTGATTGTAATATAACTTCTCTAACACGTCACGCGGAGTTCTCGGCTTAGAGATCAGTGCTCTGATTCTATAACTATTAACAACAATTCGTTATCATTATATTGTCGTTGCGCAGCTTTTTTATCATATATTATATCTGCACAACGATAATATAACGATGATAACGAAAGTGTAGTTATAAGAGTTACAGAAAATAGCCTTAACAATGCGACTTTTCGACTGTTAGCGACTTCGTCCGAAAATGACCCGCATTATCTTAAGAACGTAGTTACTGCATTGGCCGCTACACGGTATGGCGCTGAAACCAGTGAGAAATGCTGGTCTCGTCTCAACCCGGACCTTTGGCTATCTGTCTATTAATCTGTGGCTGTACAAATCATTTTGCAGACTAATAAGTATTTAAGATGATCTGTAAATATAACAATTGATTAAGAACAAGCCTTAGTGCGCACTCAGTGTGCACTAGTGCAAGCGTCCGAATTCGCTATAAACTACAAAATTGTAGCTGCTAGATTATTCGTATGTATTTGACCGGAAATGAATGTCCGGGAAAGAATCTACCATATGAAATCGTTTGTATTTCGTATGAAGACTTTTGAAGTGCAATTGAAAAGGTTTGTGAGTCATTCGTTTAATTGTAATTAATTAATTATTTTTACACCATGCATTTAGCCGAAATACATAAATTAATAAAAGTTTTTATACGGAATCGTTTGTATTTTGTATGAAGAGTTATGAAGTGTGATTAAAAAGGTTTGTGAGTCACCCAGATAATTTTAATTAAATATTTATAAACTCGGTAATTAGATTTTTAGTTATTCATGTTAAAAGAAGAAGGCGCTAGTGTTCCCGAAGGTCCGTCTGCAATCAGAATTAATATGAACGTTTTAAAAATTATTTTATACTGAAATAAATAAATATACAGGCTAATAAGCCTGTAGCTATAAGGGATAGTTGCTAATTAAGTTTGTAAAGATGTACCAGCTGTGCAGGGTGAAGAGCAGGTCATCTCAAACGCCCAACCCAATTAAAAGACTCAAATGTCATTACCGCTGAGAAGTACTTTTTGCCATTTAAGTTAGCATGTCAGAGCAACCGGATTGTCCATTGCGTTCCACCTTGAATTTTTTTTACAGTCGTTTATTAGGATTGCCCTACTTATTTTAAATTGAGCGCTTTTAAATGTATTATTATTAAACTACCGATATCGATATTAAAACTTGACAGAGTGACGTAAACTAATTCGCTCATAGTATTATAACAAAGTATTATGCGTTCAAATTCTCGAAAGCTAATAGCTTCTTTACTATGCTCTCTTTATGTCGATCGATTCAGATAAAAATCTCCGAAGTCTTTCTTTCTCTCGCGATATTCCTAGAGTAAAACTGTACAAAAGCTCTATGAAATTGGCGATATTTTTCACGGATCTAGTTCGAGTCTCGGCTCTTGAGGAAGGTGCGCATGTAGAAAGAGTACGCCAACAGAGTTTAGCCTGCTAAATGGTTATGAATTCTCTATAAGTTCTGTATTGTACATAAATTATAGAATATCTAAACGTTTCTTTTTTTTTCGATGTCCTGTGAAATTATACAATAGAGTTACAAATAAAGATAAAGCCACACTTTACGTATAATCTGATTCAGTCTTTGCTAATGTTACATAATAATGTGCGAAAGAACTAACAGTTAGACTATTTAAGAGGCTATTTAAGAATTTTAATTGATACTGGCAGCATAAAACTGTTCAGCTAGCTTTACACAAGATATTGGTCTTCTTCTTTATGAAATCGTCAAATTATGATTATGATACATTTCTACATTATCACCAGCATCGAATCTAATCTTATTTATCGTGATACTCTTGAGAAACTGTTAATCCATTGTCTTAACTCGATCGCGGCGCAGAACTGCGTCCACCAATATTGTTCCTCTCCCTCCAATCGATTCCCGTAAAAGCTGTCTACATATTGAACAGTCGATACAACGACGGCGGATTAGTCTGAAATTAAGCACACGTTAACAATCACTCTTTTTGCTAAAATCACAATTCTCTTTTCAATCGCATATCTTGATTATGACATAGACCAGCACGGGAGTCAGATCGTCGGCAGCAGGTATACCTCTTTCCGACGCCATGGAGAAGAGATTCATGATGGTAGTCGCGCAATGAAATACACACTGCAACTTATCCCTAGGAATCTTATACGCCGATATCACAGCCAATTCAGCCTGGGCCCATGACCAGGGGCATTCGTAATGATAAACTTTTGAAATGCGTATCCCTGTGATTTGGAGTTACGACCTTTGCCAACTTATTGATGTGACCGTGAAAAAGCTGGTCCCTATATACATCTCCATCTTCATTTAGATAGAGCGCATTGTGGTATATCCGTGCCATGACGGTTCTTTCCACCACGACTCTCGCCAAATCTAACTGGTTGGCGCTTGCCGCTGAAAGTAAGAAGTAAGTTCAGACGTCTCTGAACACTCCGCTAAAATCAATTGCGAGATAAATAATTATATTCATGTACATTGCCAAATCGGATCGTTGTCCATTTCCACATGGACCTTCCCTAGACAATTATCCATGAGATCCTGTTTCTCGTCAGCTAGCGTAAGCTTTTTAAACTCTTCGCAGAAACGCAGGAGGAAAGCCTTCTTTTTTTTCAAAAATACCCTCACACAAACGGATACAAGATGATTATTGATAGCATCCCGATCGCACTTAACTCGCACGCATAATCTGAAAAATATTATTATTAAACGGTTAACATCTTACATTTAAACATCTTACATTTACTTATGCATTACATACAAAGATGATATTTATATATAAACAGTACCTATCTAAGTGAGCTAATGTCGACAGCAATCCCTGACGACATCTGATTAAATATGCGATATAAGGAGATCGCTTTTGATAATCCTCTCGAAGTGATTTGAAGAGCTTTCTACATCCATCGTCATTAAATAGACGCACGCAACGTAAAGTTTCATGAAGATGTTAGATGAGCTAGTTAGACTTAGCTAACTAAGACTTAGCTCAGCTTCAGTTTTGCCGTTTGCTATGACAGAACCCTCCTGCTGATGTTCCCCATCAAGCCTCACGTTCTCTTCCTCCGCCTGAGTCTCCATTCGCGCGAAGATCACGTTGATCATCTGCGTGAGAGTCGCACAGGCTGTTGTTTGATTCACCAGGTTGCGCGACGACAAGTAAATGTTGTAAACAGTACGAATTGTTAACAGTACCGTACCCTCGTATACCTCCACATGCTGGCTTGTCATTACAGTCAGCAGAGCTTTAATAATCTGCAGCTGCACACTCTCATCGGTCTGTGGACCGGTGAAGCAACCGCAAAGGCTCCGTTGGCTCAGGCACATTGCTAGTGAAATGACTATATGCGATTAACTTCTGCAGGCAGTCCAGTGCTGTGTCACCACAATCCGTAGTGACTAGCTCTAACATGCTGACTCAAATGGCAAGAAGTACTTAGCGGTAATGACATTTGAGTCGCTCTTAATTGGGCTGTGGCCCAATTAAGGGCGTTTGAGATAACCTCTTCACCCTGCACAGCTGGTGTACATCTTTGATCTCGTTACGGAGGTCCTCTGCAAGATGGAAATATGAGTGACAAACTTAATTAGTAACTATCGCTTATAGCTACAGGCTTATTAGCCTGTATATTTATTTATTTCAGTATAAAATAATTTTTAAAACGTTCATATTAATTCTGATTGCAGATGGACCTTCGGGAACACTAGCGCCTTCTTCTTTTAACATGAATAACTAAAAAATCTATATTTCGGCTAATTACCGAGTTTTTAAATATTTAATGGTAATTCTTCAGTTTAGCTACAGCAGCACAAAAAACGATGAATTTAGGCTCATTCGACGCGTTTTTGCACGAAACGACCGAATCTGGCAGAAAAAAGTGTCGCTCTGCCCCGCGACGCGAGATATTAATCGTTAAAGTTGACAGAAATCAGGTTATGATTTCTGTCATACCGACGACATGTAGCAACACTGAACGTGCCCTGCGGCCACATGCGCATGCTCAGTGGTCGCACGCGCATGTAAAACTGCGCCAATTTTAAATGAATCAATCGTGCAGAATAACCAAGCATCTCGATTCAAGCAGTTAGGTCTCACGCTGGGAGTTTCATTAGTTTAATTATGCGTGGGATGCACACACACACACACACATGGGGAGGTGCGAGGGGGGCCTTCGGCCCCCCCCTCCCCCGCACCCACCCCGTCGGTAGGCAGCGTAGACCTCGCTTTACAATATAAAGTACATGCTAAGTTGTATTCTTCTTAGAAACTCGCTGTAACAAGTAAGCTCAGCGCACATAATAAACTGAAATCTTTTTGTGAACTGTAATCTGGCTGTGTTAAATCCTTTCTGCATACTACTCAACAAAATTTAATAAGAGTAAAAAGAACACTATAAACTACAATTTTTTTCTCGATCGTTAATATTTAATTATTATTATGCATTTAAATATTAAATATAAATATTATGCTATACTATGCTAAAGTTAATGTTTTTAATGTAGGACTTTTTTTCAGATAAAAATTGGCCAAGAATGGGGATTTCTATTTATACCTACATTATACCTATAATAATTTTTATGTTTATTAATACTTATTTAATTATATTTGCAATTTTTATATTTATAAATGTCAAATACACAAATTGTAAATATAATTAAATAAATATTTATAAACATAGAAATTAAAATTCGTAAATGTAAACATAAATGTAACGTAATAATACATCGTCAATTTGCCAACTCGATGAGACTCGGCGCTCGGTGAAACACAAGACGCGATATCCGAAATGCATGGCAATAGCCGGCTAAAGCGTGCTAAGCAGCTATGTCATAGAAGGAGACAGCAGATCGTATGTCTGTCCTTTTCTCCCCGCTCGAACTACCTCGAAGCTTGCCGAGCGCCGAGCGTACACGGACAGAGGGGCTTACGTTGGTGTGTGTGCGTGCCGTGCGCGGCCGCCGTGGCCATAGGTAATCCCCTCCAACTGAGTAGTTCGGACATGAACCATTAGCACGGACACGAACCACCAAAGACTGACAACACCGACAATATCGAAAAATGGATGTATATAGCACGGACATGAACCAAATTGATCGACAGTATTGAAAAGTGGATGTGACTCATTGTCAGTAGTTTCAATTCCTGAAAGTGGATGTGTGGCGCTACTGTACGGCCTAGCAAAAGCGTCCCAAGAAAATCGCCATCATTGCGCCTCTCATCCTTCTCTCTGGTGGAGACCTGCGCGAAACGAGTTTTCATTCGATCCAACCATCATCTCTCGTTGGACGGAGTTTATAGTTGTGTGCCAAAGATATATGTATTTTAAAGATATATATGTATTTTAGCATGTTTACACGATTTGTAAATCATAGTTTGAGACCAAGCTTGTGTACAAAGTTAATGAAAGCGTTGTACAGTAAATCGCAATCCGTACAACATGAAGTTAAGGAAATAGAAATCCCAGTACCTTGGGGCAAGGTGGCCGGTTCGTACATACAGCTTTTCTGCAAATACAAATTTGACTTTTGCAACTACAAACATAAGTTTTATTTTAGGCAAGTTATGGGGATCACAAGATAAACAACCTATTCTGGCTATGCATGGCTGGCAAGATAATGCCGCATCATTTGATAACATAGCACCTCTTATTATAAAAAATACACCAGTTCTGGCCATCGATTTACCTGGACATGGACTGTCTTCATGGTTACCACCAGGATTTATGTATACTGAATTGATATACTTCTTATTAATTAAAAGAATTAAAAGATACTTTGGATGGGAAAGAATAAAAGTAATGGCACATTCCTTAAGTGCTATGACGATATATTGGTATGCCGCAAGTTTTCCAAAAGAGCTGCAGTATGTTGTAGCTTTGGACTTTTTCAAATTTCCATCTGTTAATACAAGCATGCATGCTACCGGATTTGGAAATGCGGTTGATGCATTTTTCAAGATAGAGGAAAGTAATGTTCAACCTAGTTACTCGCAAAGCGAAATTATAAAGAAATCGTCTGCAGGATTCCTAAATTTGGATAAATCGTCATATAACATTCTTATGACTAGAGGTACCACGCAAAAAGAAGATGGAACGTACGTTATCAACAGGGATCCTAGATTGCGAGTTATACCCGTCCATAGTATGTTTTCACGAGATCAACTAGAAGAATATGCAAATCTTATAACGTGTCCATATTTAATAATAAAAGGAGACAATAATTTCTATGGTGAGGAAAAAGAAAATTTTTATAGAGCATTGGAAATATTGAAAGCTGCTAATGACAAAGTACATTTCGAGACTTTATCAGCAACGCATCATCTTCACCTAACACATGCGAAAAATACAGCAGAGATTATTAATCCTTTTTTAGAAAAGTATGATTAAATGTCATTAACATTATATTGTAATAAAATAAAGTTTGTATGTCAAGAGAACGTAGAACAGATTAGCAGAATGTGTGACTTAATATAATTCCAATAGTGCATAATTCATAACGATCATAACATAACAGAGTCCAAAACTCATATTTCCATCTATATTGAGTATATGTACATATATTGATATACAGATTTTTTATAAGATATTTTCTGTATATATATATATATATATATATATGTATTTATTTAGAAATATCTATATTTAATCTATATCTGTGTTTAATATATATATATATATATATATATATATATATATATATATATACACATATATATATATTTTTTTAATAAAATGATAAGATAAATATGTATATTTTATGAACTAGCTATTCTAATAAATCTTATTTTTTAATTTTTAAAATTTTGCATTGAGTAATTAAATGTACTCTATATGAACATATGATCAAGTGCAAGAATGGTGCACTTCAGAATCAAATGTTTATAATATTTAAAATATACCTTTTTATTTACCTAATTATATGCTCGAATAGGTTTATGATTACAAAATATAAAAAATAATTATTGGTTCCGTGTATATAAATACTTTTATATGTGTAAAACATTTATGAGAACACACAGATATCTTTTTTCCCTTTTCAGATGAATCGGTTCTAAAGCCTTGTATACACGATGCTAGAAATCGGTCCAAGTCCTCGAATAGAAGTAGTTGTACTTTGATGATTCTAGATAGCGTTATATAGTCGAAAAATGTGGGGTCGAGAGCTGAGTATGAGCCTGATGGGCCCGTGGAATATATATATATATATATATATATATATATATATATATAATTCTCTTTTCTCTATTTATCAAAGATTTATAAAAGTTATATACATTTCCGTTGTCCAACGTTACATTTGACCATCATTGACTAAGCTATTTATAAAGTAATAACGTTGGCAACATGGAATTGAATCGATAACTTGTACGGAAAAATGGGACAGAATGCATTTTTCTGTACGAGATTTCTATTCGAGAAATTCATCCGAGTTGCCTGTATACACGAGGTTACAAGGTTTGTGTACACGATACTAGAAATCGGTCCGAGAAAAAGTTACTAGAACTCGAATCGTGTGTATACACAGGCAACTCGGATAAATTTCTCGAATAGAAATCTCGTATGTACAGAAAAATGCATCCTGTCCCATTTTTCCGTACAAGTTATTTCCATGTTGCCAACGTTATTACTTTATAAATAGCTAGTCAATGATGGTCAATGTAACGTTGGACAACGGAAATGTGGCCTACTTTTTACACCGATCTCTTGATACCCGTATCAAATAGTATATTTGAACTGATCAGCCAATAATCAGACTTATTTACTATTTACTATTTAATACACGTATCAACTGATCGGTGCAAACTAGACCTGTATATAACTTTCATAAATCTTTGATAAATAGAGAAAAGAGAATTATATAAATAGTGCTAGTTTACAGTCGTACCTAAGTTTAATACGAATCAAGCTGGTACGCATCAAACGTTTGATTCACATGCGTTTACATCATTTATATTATGGCTACGTTTCGATATTCGCTGTCAACTAAAGATCTATAGTGTATGTATATACATACATTGGGTGCGTTTCGCTATTCACTCGCAGTACTGGCAGCACTGTAAATCCGTTCCAATATACGCGGCAGTAACCTCTATGAAGTTGGCCGGACAACTTCAACGTATCGAACTTTCATTAATTGGAATCGATTGGTGGTCGTTTGGTGGTCTTTGGTAGTCTAGTCCGATCGTTTGGTGGTTAGTCGTTTTCCTGTAAAATAAAAATGAAATTTCCGGTGTGAAGTTAGCCGGACAATTTTTATTTTTCACCCAATTTAACTTTTTTATAGCTCATTCGACACGGAATCGTTTGGTGGTCACGAATATCACCGGTAAAACGTTTGGTGGTCAACCGTTTTCCCAGAAAATCAAAAAAACCGTATGCGCATAATACCGTAGTCGGAACAATTGTATTTATCACCCAAATTGACTTCGATAGGGCTCAATCGACGCGGAATCGTTTGGTGGTCACGAATATTGTCATTAAAACGTTTGGTGGTCAACCGTTTTCCTAAGAAATAGAAAAAACCGTACTCTCACGCCATTGGTCGCATGACTCCGTGACGTTAGCT